GCGGCGCGAGGAGCTTTTGCTATGGGACCGTACAATTCAAACACAAAATTCTATGGACATTATTGAACTTCGTGTTGATTCTGACCGATGATCAGCTTGTCTACGTGATGAGGAAGCTAAACTGAGGAATTTACGACGGCACTCATTATTGAAGTGATAAAGGTTAAAAACAGCGCATCTTTCTCTGTAAACTCTCTTTGTACGCGAATTTCTCCGTAAAGCTTTTCTGATGAGCAAGCTCCTTTGATGGAGAGGTTACTCCGATTCTCAATACTCATGGTTGGAGAGCTTTGTATGAATCAAAACTTGTCTTTATTTTTGCTTGCGTTTTTTGCAGTGGATGCGTACTTACGATAACGTAAGAAAATGCATCTTGTTTCTTATAGTTAGGAACGCATCATCTGCACCGTGCTCACTTTGTGTGCGTTTATAGCAGCCACAAAGCTGGATATGATCAATTGATCTAATTAAGAAGCAGTAACAGCACAGGTGCGATAAGGTGAGAATGACTCCTCCAGGGTGAAGGGGGTCACAGTGGTCGCAGCCTCTCCAGGGTGAAGGGTGTTTCACTTGGTAGAGAAAATATAAAATGTCGACGGGGGGGGGGGAGCCATGGTGTTTTCTCATCATTTTTCCTAGTCAAAGTTCATAATTTATTCCTTACCATCACTGGTTATCTTTTTTCTGAAATGTGAACCGATGTGCGGCTTGATTAGCACACTATTATATTTCTGACCGGCACCTTTTACTTTTTTAACATTTCCTTTCCCTTTTTTACATCACCCTGTCTGTTTTTGGAATTACCATAGAAGATATGCATGCGAGAACATGTTTTGGAAAAAGTTGGACAATTTTTAAACATTTAGGAATTTTTTTGAAGGAAGAAATTCGTAATTTCTGTAGATGAGCAGCAACGTCAGCAAGGGAAATGCTTTAAAACCACCTTGTCTTCTGCTTTTAGAGGATATGTTTGCCTAGAGTCTGTTGAAAAAGTTCCTGGTGAAGAATGTGGGTAGTGATTTTTCTGGATCTTTACGAGTTTTTAGGATAGAAAAATCCGTAACTTCTGATGATGAACATCTTACGCCGTGACAATCACCATTGAAACTGTCTCGTCCTCCGCTCAGAAAATATATACTTTGCCTAGAGTTCGTTAAAAAAAAGTACCTGGGTGAAGGGGGTCCTAGTGATTTCTGGAAATTTTCGGGTTTTTAGCATAAAAAAAATTCATAGCGTTTGTAGATGAATCTTGTACGCTGCGATGGTCACCTTTGGAACTGCCTCGTCCTCCGCTTTCAGAAAATATATGCTTTGCCTAGGGTCCGTTATAAAAAGTGCCGGGTGAAGGGTGGGTGAGACTTTTATAATGGGGTGCTCAAGTAGATGTCCTTTCACAATGGTAAAAAAGCCTGTACTTGAGCACTCCCATTATAAAAGTCTCACCCACCTTTCACCCGGCACTTTTTCTAACGGACCCCAGGCAAAAAATATATTTTCTGAAAGCGGAGGACGAGACGACTCCAAAGGTGACCATCGCGGCGTACAAGATGTTCATCTACAAGCGTTATGAATTTTTTTATGCTAGAAACCCGAAAATCTCCAGAAATCACTAGGACCCCCTTCACCCAGGTACTTTTTTTAACGGACCCCAGGCAAAAAATATATTTTCTGAAAGCGGAGGACGAGACAGTTCCAAAGGTGACCATCGCGGCGTACAAGATGTTCATCTACAAAATTTATTGATTTTCTTACGTAAAAAACTCGAAAATTCCCAGAAATCACTACTCACACCCGTCACCAGGCACTTTTTTCAACAGACTCCTCCATTCCTGTACATAAACAATTCAAGTACAAATATCTCCTTCGCTTAACCTTACCTCACTGTTGATTTTCTTCTGGGCTTTTGGTGAAGGGGGTCACCTTGGTCCCGGCTCAGGGGCGAAGAGGGGGTGAGAAAATTCTCACACTATCGCACCTATGAGCAAGAGGCAGATCACCACAACAGTTGGTGATATCCTTGTGATCTTCTACAGGAAGGAGTCGTTTTTGTCAGATTCATTTGTTTCGCCGAGAAACTTGTAGGGTATGCGCAAATGATAAACGAGAGTCCCGCGCGGAAGTAGAATTTGCATCGGTGCATAGGGCGTGCTCGTACGTTCGACAGCCTAGAGACAGAGCTTTAAAAGTGAAGGTTGTTTAAATTTCGGCATCCATAATAAGTGAAGGTAGTTTATAGGAATTCAAAGAAGAAAAAAGATGCAAGGAACAATACAAAAAAAGAGATAAACAGACAAGAACGAAAAACAGATAGCAAAAGCAAAAAAGTCTTGAAACCGAACAAATCGCTGCAATGAGATTGAAATCTTTCATTTGACGGCATTTCGAAGTGCAGGTTTTCGCTCCAGGAGTAGGCAATCCATATATCGAGGAAAACGAAGAAAAGGTAATTTCATCTTTGTGATTGTTTCAAAAACCATTTTTCAGTAGTGGCGATTGAATAATGAACAAGAAGGAAATTACTTACAAAATTGCAAAGCTTCTTTTATAATAAGTCGAAATGCACGCCAAAGCCAGTTTAGTTTTTGATGCGTCCTTTGCTGGGTCGTTGTCTACATTATGAGCAGAAGCATGGTCTATAGAATGCATAAAACCCGCGTGGAAAGAGTTAAATTAGGGGAAAACAGAGATTTTCGAAAACACGGTTTTTGCTGAATTTCTCGTTTAAATCAAAAAATTTGCCAGTAAAGTAGGGATCAAGAGCTTCAATATGATATACAGTTTGCTAGAATTGGTTTTAGAATAACGAAGAAAAGGGACCAGAGCCAATAGCGAGGTAGCGCGCAACGAGACGCAGGAGACGCAGACGGCAGAGAAAAAGGACCAGAGCCGACGGGGCATTTGGCTCTGGTCGAAGATCTCCGCGGGTTCTTAACGAAATCCTGCAATATTATATATCGTTCTGATCGCCATGACACGACTACGAGCAATGACAACGTCGACGGCGTTGAAAATCACTCAGGCAGTGGCTTGGGAAAATTGCGAATGCGCCTTTCTATTTTCCCTTGCCCTTCTGGATGTGTTCAAACCAGAGCTGTAAAAAGTCAATAAAATGCTTGTCATGGAGCTCTCCGGCCTTGGAGATTGCTGAGAAGGCTGGAGCGAAGACTCTCGCAGCCGGGTCGCGATTGGCTACTTAATCAGCCAATTGCAGCCAAGATGAGTGGTGTTGCAATCTCCTGCCGCCAATCACTTTTTGGCGGGATTCTCCGCTCCAGCCTCCTTAGCAATCTCTAAGGCCGGAAAATGCTATAAAAAGAACTTTTTTGACTTTTTAAGCACAACTTTGGTCTAAACGCATCCAGAGTCCTCCCAAGGAGGAACAGAATACGCGCTGGCGCAATTTTCCCGAGTCACTGCCTATAACAAAACACTCCAGCATCTTCGTACGCGATTTTCTGTGCAAGGTTTAGGCACAGTTTCTCGTTTTTGGTGAATTCCAAGAGCTTTCGTGAGCCTTTAGATCACTCGCAAATTAGGAAGAGGTTAATTTACGAATGTGTCCCGAAATCTATGAAAGTACACACTAAAACCTCTTTTTTAGCACAAAAAAACTATAAGGACGCAGTTTTCGATTTTGTTGGGATGTTTTTAAGATATCAGCCAATTTGTGTTGTTAAAGTCCGGGGCGAAACCCCAGATGACTTCTGCTTTTTTTTCTGGTGAAGATTGTGTTCTCTTGGGTCGCTTAAAGTGAAGGTCACTGGTCAGAGTAGATGGCTCTATGTATAGGAGGTATGACTGCAACAGCTACCCATGTTGATACGTCGACATCTTGTTCATAAGATTTCAAAGAAATTCAAAGAAAACGATTATGTGTGCTCAACATAAACAATTTCTGTTACGTACAGTATGAATTTTCGAAAGAGCGCTATCGTTTGCGCTTCAGTTTTGGCCAGGAAAGTGAATGCAAGGAAATTCTGATTTTGAGTGCGGTTATTTGGAGCTGCGTAACTTAACAGGTAAGGCTGAGAGCCCTTTTTGACCATCATTAGATAGAGCATGAAAGACTTCTTAATAGTATGCTTAACTTGTACGTAGAAAGTTCAAGAGGACAAGTTGTCTTGAAGGAGGTTTAGCGCTCATTGATCCATCAACCTACTTTTAGAGAGAGCGTCTGACGAGATTTAGGGATATCAATATTGAAAAGATTAGAGGCCCTGACTAAGCCATAACTAAGCAATCCACAACATCGCATCCAAAAAGAGGAAATCATACAGAAGAGAACACCCTGATAGAGCCGTCTGGTCGGATGGCAAAACTGCTGATGAAAACTACCTTCGAATCTCCGGAAAAGCGAAAATTTGCGATGTTCTTCTGTTACGCAAATATCTCATCAATGCCCTATCTCTGATAAGTTCTTCTCAATCAGTCAGAAGGAATAAACCATTTACTCTTGACTGATTGGAAAATAGTTCTACTTCTCAATACTTTACTAGCAGTGGCGTACCCAGGATTTCCGCTCGGGGGGGGGGGGGCGACAAAAAATTTTTTCAAATGACCGTGCGTGGCGTTAGCCACGCACTCCAAAAAAATTTTAGGGGTGCTTTTCAAAATTTTTGCGGGTCCCCAACCCCTAAAATCTGGAAAAAGGGGGCGTGGCGTCAGCCACGCCCCCGAAAAAATTTTTTTTACAAAGCTAATTTGAATTTTTAAAAATTTTTAAAAATTATTTTATTTATTTACAAGTATAAACAAGTCACTTGCACATTTTTATAACCCATATAAGTAACTTTCAAAAATTTGGCGACCCATTCTCGGGGGGGGGGGGCGCCCCCCCCGCCCCCCCCCTCGGTACGCCACTGTTTACTAGCTATCTCAAACTTATTTCCATCTCCGCTGAGCTTATCATTTCATCTCGTCTCAAAATACTAGAAATGTTCAGTTCTTATGTTCGTCTACGTGAGTACGGTTCATGATACTAGAACTCTTGCTACTCACATATGCCTTACTTCTCACAGTGTTGCCATATTCACTGCACCTGTGTGCCAGCAGTAAACGCGGTATGAGCGAATTTTTGAGCGAATTCAAATTTTGTACACCTAATTTATCAGCTTTTTAGAAGAAGGCGGAGGATCCATTAGAGAGAGTTTGGAATCGGTAAGACAGGTTTCGTAAAAAGAAAGCCCTTCCGCACGACTTGCTACCGTAACCCGACGAAATGCGAAATTGCCTGAGATTAATGTGGCTTGGAGTTAGTTGCCACTTGCATCCCCCGTTGTATACAGCAAAAAGAACGTTTGAAAGAAAGACAGTTTCACAGTGTAATAATAGTCTCTTGCGCAGGTTACGGTGGCTCGGTTCAGGAGCGGCAATCTTTTTTCCTGCAATCAAACCGCTTCCAACATGTTTAGGACTCTGAGGAGCATAGTTCCCGAGACTCAAGTACCCGCTCAGGTGCAAGTGGCAGCAAGAAAAAGAAAAAGAAAGGAAAGGATAAAGACAAGAGCAAAAAAGCACCCATAAAATTACCTAAGCCTAGAACATACATATTTAACCAAGTCGAATTCTTTGAGTTACCTGGTGCCAAACCCCAGAACGCCCCACCTCCTCCTCCTCCTCCACCGCCGCCTCCTCCACCTCCACCCCCACCCCCGCCGCCGCCGCCGCCACCGCCACCTCCCCCGCCGGGTGGTGGTGGACCGCCAGGTGGTGGACCACCGGGTGCTCCTGGAGGTGGAGATTACTTTGATCTTCCGCGATAAATTGCATTCTTTTGTGCCTTACAGTGATAACTGTTATGAAATGTCAGTTTCTACAATGTGTTTAAAATTTTTAGAGTAATAAAGATTGAAGGTGTAAACAATTCCCCATAACACTATCCAAATTGTGCGTTGTTCACAAGTACGCATTCAATTGGAGCAATTCTTCCGAGATATTAAGTACTACAACAATGTCAGAAAGCCTCTAATGATCTTTTCTGACGACCAACACCGCGAAATTTCGAAGCGGTATGTTGAGGTATACGTGATCTACGATTTTCTTATCAAACACCGACAATGAAAAGGATCAGTAATCGAGTAAGCTTTATTTGAATCTTTCAACCGCTCAAGTGGGTCGATCTCAGAAACTGTGAATACTCGATCATTATGCCGATGTCACTCGTCAAAAATCATTGTCTGTGTGGAGCCATGCACGTTCGGGTATTCGTCGTTATCAGTACACAATAAACCGCACATTTCCTCAATTTAGTCAGGAGCCCGTGTACTTTCTATAATTCTCTTAGTGCTTTCTGCTGTGCATCTGCTCAACACTCTCGGATTCGTACCTAATTATCCATGCTCTCCATTCAGGTAAGATCAGTTCGAATAAAGTTTCATCAAGGAAAATCTGTGCGCCAGTAAGCTCAGAAGCTTGGACGCATGTAGTGGAACTGCAATGTTCAGCATAAGAGTCCAGATGAGATTTGATCAGCTCAATTAACTGACAAAAACATTTCAGTGCTACATTCATTTTCATCATCATCTGCACATTAACTTATGGTGTATTCGCTGAGCGCCGGTACTTTCTAATACCTTTTCTCATTATGAAGGTCAGTAATGAAAACTGGACAACTTACTACGAGTTAGTGGAAAACTGCGGGGGGGGGGGGCTTCGAATGGGTCGATTTTTCAAAATTTACTTACTTTATAAAAAAGTGCAAGTGACTCGTTTATTCCTATAAATAATTAGGATAACTTTGAAATTTTCCAAAAATTCAAATTGACCTTGTAAAAATTTCGGGGTCGTGCCATTCTCGTAGATTTCAGGGGTTAGGATCTCAAAAATTTTGAGGAGCACCCCAAAAAATTTTTCGGAAAACGTTGCTAACGCCACGAATCACCTTCACTTGAGAATGAATTTTTTGCCCCTCCCCTTCCCCCCCCCCCCTACCGGGCGAAAATCCTGCAACCGCACTGCTGTGAGTATATCTGAGCTAGGCATGTAAGTACTGAGCGAAAAAATAAACATCCTTTATAATTGTGCTTTTGAATAGAAAAAAGGCTGGATTGGAACTCAGACTAACCTCGAAAACCTCGCTATTTCTCTTTCAAACGGACCGGTAATTTTTCTCTATAGTCTGACTACACATTACCAGTGTTACCCATACTATTCGTCTTACCAGTGTTACTCGTGTCACCATTGTTACTAGTGCCACCAATCAATGAAATTGCGTTTTAGAGAGACTGTATTTGTAATCATTTCGCTTCTCAACAGCAATAAGCGGTAACACAAGGTAAACTAGATAGTAACATAAGTAATAACACGGGTAATAGGAGTAACACGGGTAACACTGATAATGTATGATCAAAGCCTATGAAAGACATCCAACTAACAGTAAGAAAGCCTGTATTAAGCCGTTCTACTCGAATGTCATTTTGTAACAAATTTGAGAAGGTGGGGGACGATAGCAAAGATAGCAAAGAGGCGTGCTTGGGTTACCAAGCACGCCTCTTTGCTATCTTTGCTATCGTCCCCCACCAATCCATCTGATGTGACCACTTGAAGGCAGCGTCCAGGCGCCTGTCCCCAGCCGTTTTGCCGTATGAATAGCATTTTGCAGCCCTCTACGATGGGACTCGTCCAGAGGGCGACGAATCCCTGCAAAGCAGGAAACCCGATGCAAGTCATTCGCCAAATATGGTAGCGGTCTGGTCTGGAGATGCATATCTCAGCCGCAAGCGCAACGTCTGCGCTGCCGAGTGGGCTGAAATCAGTTTCCACCTAGTCCCTACGTGTCCAGGTCTTCCTGGACGCTGCCTTCAGAGGAAAGGGTGAAATGGCACGACTCGCCTGCAGCAACAAATGCCTGGTTTAGATGCTCATATGATAAGAAAGTGACAAGACTATTGATAAATGAATTCTGCCAATTTAGGCGCTGTTTACTGTTGCAACGATGAGCGTCTTCCTAGCTTGGACAGCAATCTATGTCGCTTACGGGAAACTTATAACCAAGTACACAATCATACCATTTTATGGTTACATGGAAACTATGGACACTCATGACGGTACACTCATTAATCCAATAAAGAGTAAGGTTAAAAGCGAAACTGCAATTTTAGGCAAGTCCAACATAATTATTTGCTTAGCGTTGGCTTTCGTTACAATTATATTCCTGCAAATATATATTTTGAAGGTGACTGTCCAAGGTATTTTACTGTTTAATGGAAAGTTTTTAGGTGTTCCTCAGCTTTTACACTTTCCTGCGCGATCGTCACCAAGCAGTCTTAACTGATTCAGATGAATCACATGAATATTCACCAGTATCCACAAGTTCTGTTTAAAAACAGATTGTGATAAAGTGTTAATGCAATTTGACCAATTTCCGGGGAAATGTGTGAAAACCCGATTCAGTGTAGCGCTCAGTTCAGCTTGTAAAGATAAAATCCATTCTCCGTTTCTTTAATAAGTATCACTGCTTCGAAAATCACTGTAGGTGCTATACAAGCGCTGCAAAGCTCGGATTTAATATATCCGGATAACGTCACAAATCACTCCAAAAAGTAATGATTACCAATTTGAGAAAAGATTCATCTCTATAGAGCAATTAGTCTTCATGTGAGCACGATATTAATTTGGAAATCTGTACAATTGAGACCATGTTATACATGGCAGAAAACAAGAAAATGGTCATCAAGATCATTCAGAAACACCGGTCAAACGATAATTAACGTGGCAAGAAGTAAAATCGAAATGTCAATCTTCGCGATATCTCTCGTCATAGTTGTCATCTTCATCATTGCTAGGAGCCGAAATCTCACCATGCACGCTAACATCGTCATCGGAGTCTTCTTCCCCTTCATACGCTTCCATGGCAAAGCCTTCAAGACGTCGTCGCATTCTTTCAAGAGCTAACGGAGACTCTTCGCTGTTCTCTTGCAGAGTAAGTCTATATGCCTGCAACGCAGGAAATGGCGATGCAGCTAAGATAAAGAGCCGAGCATACACCACACGATATTCCCGACAAGACAACTAATACCAGTCCACACGGTTATGTCTTTCCGATGCCACTGATACCGCTAACTATTACAAGAAATCCATATGATTGGTATGCAATGAAGTCGTGAAAGTTGTCTTGTCGGGAAAATCGCGAAGGGATGAAATCGCGTGGTGTATGCCCAGCCTTCAAATGCAGTATCTGGGCAGGAAGTCGATTTTGAGATATTGTGCTCCTAGCTATTCGCTAGGCTGGATCCGAAAATCCGACCGGAGGGAGCGAAAAGGGCGAAAAAATGCTCTAACGCAGGAGGGAAATAACCCAGTGGGCGTGGCTCTCCACTCTGTGAAGTCACTCTCCCAGCTTCAGGAGCAATCTTCTCGCTTCTATTTGCGGCCCTGACATAGCCACCGGCCAAGTGCGGAAGCGTGACTTAATGCCATTGAGGAGACCGCTCCTGAAGTTGGGAGAGTGGCCTCACAGAGTGGAAAGCCCCGCCCACCTACTGTCTTCCTGTGTTAGAGCCCTTTTTCGCCGATCTGCGGTTTCCAGTTGGTTTTCGGATTCAGCATAGCGAATAGCCCAGGAAAGCACAAAGTCACAAAATCGTCTTGCCCGGACACTGCCTTTGAAGCAAAAAGAAAACGATTGCACAGGACAGAGTCCAAAAAGCATAGGACTTAATCACCGTCAACTCTAGCCTATCGCAAAAAAAAAACGCATTTCATAAAACTGCTTTTGACGACAAACGTGAAACTCGCTGAGATCAAAACTGGTAAACGCCAAAGCAAAAAAGATAAGAAAAAATGAAGAGCAAATAAAACTGAAGCTATAAAGAAAACGGATACCTTATCGTCGTCATCATAGTAATCGACATCCTCATCTTCAGTATCATCGTCATCATCCTCTTCTTCATCCGGATAATCATTCCGCCAATTATTTTCGTCATTAGAGTCATCATCGTCATCAGCAGCACCTTCGCTTTCGGAATCGGAGTTTCCAAGTAAAAGCGACTGTTCTTCCCTGAAGCATAGTAGGAGAGTATCAAGGTGCACAAATAGAAAAAGCTTACTCTGTAGCAAATCGTAGCTCGATGTCAGAGTCCCACTGCCGTATAGGTTCTGTCATCGAACCTCGATAAATTTTGTAGTAATCAAAGCCAACACCTTCTTCCACATATGGAGGATGGTCTAGCTGAAAAGCCCGCGATGAATTACAATCTGGATACATGACTGATGAATGCAATCACGATTCATCAAATGTATCTGCTACAGTTACTTTAAATTTGCACAAGCGAAGGATGAAAATCTGGTTGCTCGGACGCGCCATATAACTCTGCAAGGAACACTGACTGAGAACTCTTGAAGATGAAAAGCTGAAAATGATGGAATGAAGGATGTGATACAACTTTGTGCAACCAGAATGCAAAATCCGAAAGTCTGGTAGAAAGCGCTGTAGGCTTAGATAGGTCTGCGATGGTCTTCGCTTTCGCTATAACTTTGTATAGAACTGTGTTTGACACGCTAATCCTGATTTCATATCCTTTCTCTGAAGAAAAAACTGCTGAACCTAACGAAACCTAACACATAGTCTACCTTAAGAAACGGATAGGATGACCATGATCAGACCTTCACTTAACCCCTTGTGCAATGTTCTCATGAAATCTGCAATTTTGCATTGCTCACTTATAAGCGAGATAGTAACTCATGAAGGTTCGATCGATATTATCGAGATATTCATGATTAACGAGGTAAGGAAAGACATAAATTAGCGAGAGAGCCGCCAAGAGGACTTAAGAAGGAATCACTGATAATCTTGATCTCAAAAATTCAAAAGGCATACCATGGAATCATCAGCTCCGCCTGGTTCAATAAGCTCGCCGATAAATTCAAGACCGCGGCCAGGGCCTATCTCTGAAAAAAGATTTTGGGAGTCTCAAATTGCAGACATTTGAATCCCACCTGACCCATGCGGTTTGAAATCTATAACCCGCACTCCATCATTGATACCATCCAGTCCTTCATTAAAGTTGTCGGTTTTGAACAACGAAAATAATAGAGGATCCTCCTGAAGAATACAACGTTTTAAAGTTTGGCGCGATTGAAATATACTTATGTCACTATGTCAACCAGTTTCAAACAGCCAAAAGAACGGTTTTCTTGAAGACAAATTGAAAGAGACAAATGCGCAAATGCGAAACGTATGAATCGGTTCAAATGAAAACAGCAGTCAATTCAGCAACACTCAGAATTTGGAGAATTCTAAAAAGCAGAATACTTTGGCAGCTTAATTTACAAACGTAAAAGCTGCTTAAACGAGAGACTTCACAGAGCTTCGTGCGGGGAGACTTAATCGCCAAAATATAATGATTTAAGCACATCTTCTTGCCTGGAATATATTTATTTTGTCCTCATTTATTTATTTATTCATCACGCTCTAAAGTGTGCTACAAAAGCAGAGGATATAAATCAAAGGCAGAATGTGCCCACAGAAGACGGATTTGAAAGCCAATGCATTTTTATCAGAGTTAGTTTGAATCCAGCCAGAATCTTGAGGAAAAAAACATCAAAAAGCACTAAGGACCTACCGAATAGATACTTATCAGCTTAGCCTTCTCAAAAAGACTGATCACTAGTACCGGCTGGTTTGGTACGAAATCTGCAATCCTCATCCTCTTCACTTTTTGTATGCTCCGTGAGATTATGTTGAATGACTTTAACAGTAAAACGCACCAACTGAATTTGCAACCACCTTTGGAGTGCGTCCTCTTTCACAAATGCAAGAAAACTACAGAAACAAAATTGGAAGGACTCAAAAATAACCTCGCGTTGCGCGAACATAGTAATGCACTGGAGTGTCAGTAAACTAAGAAAAGAAAGAATTGTTCCTCTTACTTTTCTTTTCTTCGTTTCCATGATGAGAGCCGCATGTGGATCTGCCGAGCGTTTGCGGCGAACCCGAATGATTGGCATAAGGTCCGTCATCTGAACAACCTCGAAACTTAGTAGTGATATACAACAATAGAGCCAGCGAAAGCATGAACGAAAACAAAAATAAAGTGATGAGCCTCGTGCACATCAGCCGTAAAATCTATTGCCTTCCGCAATTACTACAACTTAAGTTCACGTCAACTTCATGAACGTTCTGTTTAATAGAGCGCGGCAGCTCCACCAACACAAAAAATATATCTCTGTACCTGGTAGTGGGCAAAGTATACTACGTCCACTTCAAGAGATAGAATTTTTCAAGAGAATCATAGAGTCAAACCATTATCAAATTGAATTAAAGTGCAAAAAATGCATTTTGTCTGGAATCACACTGATCACGCCCGAGTTGGCGCCTAATTATTTTCGAGCTTGCTTTCGCCTGCCGATCGCATTTCTGGTAAGTTCAGTCGTTTCCATTCTTTCTTTCACCTAGTATGAGTATTTTGAAAAAGCTGTTTTTTCACTCTTACGAGGGTTTCTTTGGCGCTATTCCACATTAGTTGACTTAGAAAATGAAGGTCGCGGATTTCGCTGAAACTTCGTCTAGAGGAGTTGTTTTGCACGCTGATCACGAATATCACATTTTACATGGTAGTGCCAATCGTGGAGTTAAGGTAGGGATACGTTAGGGGGTCAAAACCATGGATTTGCTCCAAACATCCTACGGGGGGGGGGGGGGGGGACGTTATTTGGCAAGTTGAACATGAGTTACGGTGAGCTACAGTCCGTGAAAGAGCAACTTTTCCGCTTTAAGCAAAATTTAAAATCCAGAAATCTACGAAAAGGCTCTATCATGCAAAACGAGTGCGATATTCGAAAACAGCTTGCTTGAGAACTCTTCCAGGTAAAGTTTTGAGCGGATTCGGGATTTTTAGCCGTCTACCGTATACCAAACCCAACCCGAGAAAATGGCGGTACCGTACAAAATGAATATGATTTTCACGTTTAGGATGTAGACGAAGTTTGAAACAAATCTTTGGTTTTGACCCCTTACCCCCACTGTAACTGCACTGGATGGCACTACCGTGCGAAGTAAACGTAATATTCGTAATCAGCATGCATAACCCTCTTAGACGAAGTTTTAGCGAAATCCACGGTTTTCATTTTTTGGGTCAACTAATGTGGAATAGTACCTTTTCTTTCTATGTATCTTCAGCTCTTCCCTTTTATGATATGCGTACCCTCCATCATCTCGTTGTCACATTTGTTATGATATGTGAACCGCATGATGTTTCGGAGGAAAAGCACACAAACTGTTTATGAATAAAATATAGAATTCATTTCTCTATCTCAGTTGAATTTTGTTTTTCCTCCGGCTACCATCGACATTCTTTTGCTCGCAATACCTCTATAGTACTATAGGTATCATAACACTTCTCGAAAGTTCAATATTATCATGAGAGTACCATGCGTGATCAATTGTCTGCAAAATGCAACAACATGGTCATTCGCACCATGTAAGGATGTGTGACCGAGGTGAACGACTGCTTCGCACCTATATCCAGAGGCATGACACCGGATTATGAGTTCAATTTTTGGTGAATATGGGACGGAAACGTATAACATAGCGTTAGCTCAGCTGGAGCTCTTATTTAACGAATTCGATATCTACTTGACGACAATATCCCACGAACGATGGAGTCAACCGCAGCCACAATTTTTGTTTGAACTCAGCTTCATTTGTTTATTCAATATTACTATCTCTAGTGTCTGCCTAATATGCCATTTTGATATGAAAGCAGACCTCCATAAGCATTTAAGCCTTGTTCATGAATAGATATTCCGAACATCAGACAGACATTAGTGTAACCGAAGATGGGAAGTGGCAAGTGAGGGACAAGATGTTCACCACTCAAGAGCATTTCTGCCTCCAATCTCGAGGTTCTATAAGCTGAATGCACGTACCACCTTGTGACTTATGAGCGAACAACCATTGCCGTCGGAGAGACTGTAAAGCTGGCCCTATGCTTTCGTTGTAGCTGCCTTATGGTTGTGAAGAGTGGCATAAGCTATTTACACGTCATGCTGCATTGACATCGCACCACAAGGTAAGTGACTGACGTTCTAGAATAGAGATTAAAGAATTCTTGACAAGATACTGCGCTTATGAAGCCAGCAGTTCCCAACTAGTAATGCTGGACAGCAGTGACGAAGAGCGAGGCACGGCGAAAGTATATGTGGAGTATGATTTGGAAAATCTACCAGAAACTCCAGCAACGCCGATCCACAGATGACAGGGACTTTGCAGGGAGGTGTTCTATGGAAGCCCGAGATGGTACTGGCGCACCAAAACAATATTAGGTTGGAAATTAAGTTTTGCTACAACCCCCATAACTTTCTTCTTTTTTATCATGACGCACTCAGATTCTGCCACTATGTGGACTATGATGTAAGCCACAAAAGCAGCTACTCTCCTGCCAAATTTTGGCGTCCCAGCCAGGGTTACGGTAGGTACATGGTACAAGGAGAAAAATTATAAAATTCTACGAATCTGGCTAAAACGTGGCATGTTGGGGTTATTTAACATGCTGATCACGAAAACAATACTAAAATTGCATGTAAAATCTTTTTTTGTAATATTGTAGGATTACGGTTTATGGTCTCACCCTATTCAAGAAAAATGGCGTTGGTTCAACAAATGATTATGATATTCCTGTTTACTAAGACGGAGTCTCGGCGAATTTTGTTTTCGACTTCTTAGTTATTGCAGTTTCCCCCTGGTAGTGTGGCTTGTCCAATTTTGTGAGGGCTTCAAAGTTCGAGTTATCTCAGACTTTATTTTCTGTTTGTGATAATTAGACTAATTTAGCAATAATTCACACACAATCTCGAATCATTATGCGATGGTTGCTATAGCTTAGGTTGCTTATAGCTTCATTTTGGTTTAAAATCTCAGAAATTCTTGGAATTTATCAGTTTTTGGAAAAAATCTCTAATTCTTCTTATCGTTTTCAACTTCACATAGTTTGTGCGAAGTTGTAAAACGCATTACACTGTATATTGCCAAAGTTTGAGTGTGCAATATCTGATGAGAGTAAGGTCATAAAGAGGGTTGCAAAACTTAGTTTCCAACATCACGTCAGTTGAATTTGTGTTCAGGAGTGTGCTGCTTTGAGAGCTTATGGGCTGGACGCCATGAAAGCCCCGGCCGACAGTGTTTGCGAAGCTTTTCGGGAAGCCATAAAGTAACTGCAGGAAGCTAGCAAGACTATGACGACATTACTTAGATTACGACTTACATTACATTATGAGCGGCAATCGTGGTGGTGTTTCACAAGTAGTTAACGATCCTCAAGGCTTCAGAGTAATCGATGCCGACACAGGCATTCAATCAATTCGGGAGAGCCAAAGGGTCGGCGAGGGGTTCATACCTAGCATTGCGGCTGCTTATTCTAATCTTATTTACCATCCTTTTTCTCTTGTGTTATTGGTGCTTGGTGTTTTCATTTTCATTGCAGAGGTTAATAACACTGATGGACCTTTTGAACACATCCAAGCTTTGCTCCATGCATATCTCTTGGAGCAATCGAATCCTCATGGTTACGCAATCTTGCGGCCATGATGATACAAGTGGTTTCTGGTTTGGTTCGTTATAAGACTTTTATTGCCACTTTATGTCCTATGCTGTCTACTAATTTGACTAAACCTTCGACTAGAAACTACATTGTTTCAGCAGTTCGTTATTGTACGTATTGTACAATCAGAAGTTGACTGTGTTGGATGTTTTGATATTGTCGCAGTTGTTTTTCCTTTATTGCAATTTGCGCACACTAATGCATCGTTTCGTTATCTTCTGTGTCTTTGTTGCAGTATTTGCTACCAACTTTATGGACACTAAGAAGATTGCGAAGTCTGGCTTACTGACTAAATCCATGTCTGATAAGACTTTGGGTGAGCTCTACTCTAGGGATTACAAGGATTTTGTTGCCCGTGAGCGAGCTTTCAATGAAATTCCAGGCGCCGATCAACCAGCTAAACCGAATAAAGCAAGACGATTAAGCGTTCTACTGATGTCCCTGCTTCTGTTGAAGAAGAATCCTTTTTTGCCGAGGGTACTGGGACCACTCCTACCGTAGTACCTGATTCTGGCGCTAGAGCAACTGATTAATAGGGTGCATTTTTCTAATTTTTGTGCGCCTTCACCTTTTGGGGATTAATATAATTTCTTTTTCTTTTCTTTTGGGGCTAACATAATTACTGGAGGGGTGGGAACAGCGCAATTCATTTGGCAAGGTATGTTCTATCCGATACAAGTCAAAACCTTCGCCTTATGTCTCACCTTTAGAGTTCACTGAATCTTTCTTTACAGAGGTCCTACTCACTTGAGAATGAGAAGGCAAAGCGCAATATACTAATGAAAATACAGAATTGTGAAGCGAACGACAGGGACACCTTTGCAGTCTGCTTATGGTTGGAACCAGTCGTAGAAACTACCAGCAGTAAAATACGACAAATACAGTCCGTGAAGACAGGTTGTATGTGAACTGCGTTAGCAATGTATGCCCTAAGGATGGGACATTACTGGAAGAAGATGAGTAACATTCATCAGTTACCCACTGTATATAATCATCTTACTGTTGAGTACAAAGTTTAAAGTTCTTCTGTTTTATAACTATCTCGCTATATCTAAACGTGGAATTTGTGTTGAGTTAAAGCTTGGAGCAGTCATGGGAGGCGACATCTAGGTTTTGCACTTCTGGATAGGGTGCGGTTTCTCGGTGCTCCCTACCCCCCACCAAGTCCCTATTCAGTGATCCTTCATTTTCAAAGAAAATTTGGACGCTGTCCAGTATTTGCGCCCCAAAATCTCACAGTCGTAGATTTCAAGCCCGGTTTATGGGTTCACTCCGACTCTTTCACTTACTTTTTTGCATTCTGGACCGCTATGGTGAAGTTACGGTATGCATACCGAGGTGAGACGAAATCACGAGATTATCCGAAGTTTGTTTCAGTGAATAAATGGTATGCTGATCACGAAGGTCGTGCTGACAAAGCTTGTCATTTTTTAGTTGAACTGACAAGTGAAGTGTGT